AACGTCACCCTGATCGCCGTTTTCGAGTTCTGTTCATCCTCGTTTGATCTAGTACTTGATCCATGAGCTCCATTGACTTCAAAATCACTCCTTTAATGACCCGCGGACCTTCAATGCTTCTCAATAACTCTCAGATGTGCCTCAATTCGTCTCGAATAATTCTCCAACGCCGGTGTCAAGCTCAATTTCCTGATTCTAATTCTAAAAACACCAAATGCAAACCAAAACTCGATAAACTATGACTTAAGCTTGGTGCGTACTAAGTCCATATTTGGACACACATTTGGTGCGCGATAGGATTAGTTTTTATTAGTTTTCCTAGCTTAAATGTGTCACATCATTTCATACACGTTTATCTCTCTTCTACACAATTCTCTATCACACAATAATTACTATTTTAATATGTGCGCCACTTGTAATTTGGGACAAAGGAAGTATTGTTTTATCAAATACTTGTGAGGCATAGTTGCGTTTACAACATATATACTTGGTACGTTTCAATTCCAAAAGGCTACATTTAAGGTAGCTGACGGTGTATAGATCGGATAGGCACCCACCCCATGCATCTCCAACTCACTACCCAATAATCCCTGGGCTGGGGTATATATCCATTCCATCAAGTCTGGCTTTCCAGCATCATTCACGTCTGCTTTTTGTACACATTTTATGTCCGTTTTAATCTCTTCTCTTTTTATTTTTTTAATTGTAATAGTTATCGAAATGATATATGGAGTAGAATATACTATTATTAGTACCCTTGCTTGCTCAGCTCATAAGATATGGAAAGCACTAGAGGCGGGGAATAGGCGGATTGCCTCAAACATGCATGAACTCTGCCTTTTAAGCAATCTACACTTTGCGTAGGTGCTGTTTCACCTTTTTTAAATGACCATTATAAAAACTCATCAAGTAATTTAGAAGAACTCAAAAATGAATGTGCAACAACTAAAAGGAACATAGGGAGTAAATGATCTAAATATGAGGGATTTGGGTGCTTGTAAAGAGTTTGTTTATGCATTGTGGGCAAGATAAGCCTAGCTTGAAGATTTTTAAGTGTCACGAATTCAACTATTTGTTTGCATTTGTTAAATGCCTTTTAAGAATATTTTCTTTTGGATTGAAATTTTCTGATCTGATCTGGTCTGGTCTATTTAAGTCTAGTCTAGTCTGGTCTGAACTGGTTTGGTTTGGTTTGGCAAATGTCTGGTTTATGTGTATTTTATAAATGTTCAAGTCTCTTCTGGTCCGTTCAGGTCTGGTATGATTTGTTTAAGTCTGATTTGATCTGATCTGAGACTGAAAACAATCCAAAAGAAAACATCCTAAATAATTGTCTTGTATGTTTTCCTTTTCCGATGTTCAAAAGTTATTGTCTTGTTTCTTTTTTCATCATATGAATCATATCATTTCACATTTTTAAACACAAATCTCAATTATATCTTTTATCTTTTAAACTATACCTGATGGATAGTCTACTCGGGGGTATATATCTGAAGGGTTATTACGGGGAATAACTTAGAGAGAAGTCAGAGCAAACAAGTAAGAGAGAGAGTGTATATTCGATATGTATTTAGCGTGGTTACAAATGGGGAAATGGGGTGCTATTTATAGTAGCAATAAATGCCGGGCAGGGACACGTGTCAAGCGCTCATTGGCCGAGGGGTCACCTCAACTGGTTGGCGCTGGCAGCCGCATGTGGCCGCATTTAATGCGGCTGTTGGATGGGACGTCTGTGCGGGGTACGGTGATCTGTACGCATGTGAGGCGGATATCTTGTCGAGTGAGATACCTTCGGCCATAGAGCAGTAGCCGAGGGCTCTTCCACCCGATGGCACCCTGGTGCCGAGGGCTCACAGTGCCGAGGGCTGATGTTTTCGCCGTCTTCTCCCAGTTACTTAGTTTGCTTGAGAAACCCGTTCTGTGAGAATTTAGAGCCTTCGGCCAGGGGGGCCGAAGGCACCCCTGGCGCGTAGTGCGAGCTGCTTGGTACTCTGGGCGCTGTGATTTGGGCCTGCTGGGCCTTCTGGGCCTGTTGGGCCTTCGCTGGAGTGGTAGGAGTCTGTGGGTCGGGGGTTCTCGGGCCATATACTCCATCAGGAGTCCCTCACTCCTTTTGCCGAAAGGTACTTGAGGGAAAAGGAGTAATTTGTGCTTGCCCTTTGATGTTGTCCTGTCGCGATCTCTGAAGTTGGTGAGGAGTTGTTGCTTTTATGTCCCTGCCGAAGGCAGTCCCTTAGTTACCCACATGTCGGGACTTGAGGGCTTGCTTTGTTGTTTGTTGGATTTTCACAGATTTTGTAATTTAATGATTTTCCCGAAGGGATCCTCCAGTCCCCCACTCCTTGAGGCACTTGTAAAGTGGTGAAAAGGAGTAAAGCAGTTACGTTGCTGTTGTGGGCCGAAGGCTGACGCTTTTCGTTTCATTTTGGGGGGATGCCTCGTTAAAAACCTCATTAGGAAAAACCCTTTGGGAAAAAATCCTAATGAGGGAAAAAGAGTGCACCGAATTCCCCCAATGATGAATCGAAAATGTCAAACCTTGGTGAAAAATGGAGAATGGCGGGAATACCGAAGGCTCTCTCTTCTGAGGGCTCCTGTGTTGATTTTCCGAAGGCTTGCTGTTGATGTCCTGGTGGTGCCGAAGGGGAGCCCCTCAATCCAGGGATCGAGGGCCTGCCAGATGAGGGCAGCAGTGAAGTTGTTACCGGGGGGTCCACTGTTTGTTGATGAGTTGGTGATGAAGATACCCGAGGGCTCCCATTACTTGTGTGCCATGGGCCATCCGTCAATGGGGCACTCCCCGGGGGCTACCCGGTTTTGTAGTGCTGAGGGTGAAACCCCGAGGGGTGCCCTGATATGCAGCCCTAGGGATCTGAAGGAGTGATCCCGAAGGCGTGTGTAATGTGCTGTGTGGGGCACAACCCGGGGGCACTTCTGGGTGAGTGCACCCGGAGGCAATCCTTGATGAAGTGGAGTGAAGTAGCAAAACCCGGGGGCTTCCAGAATATAGCCGTTGGAAATATAGCCGTTGGAATATGTAACGACAGGATATAGCCATTGGGGGGGTGGCATACGTGGCGTGTGATGGCTGGCTGTTCGTGGGCGGCGTCACCGGTTGGGTGAAACGGCGGTATGTAATGATGGCGGTCCGTCCGGAGGCCCGGAACCCAGGCCCAAGCCCGGATTCCAGCGCCTATAAATACCCCAAGGCCAGGCATTCCTCTGTGTGCGAAAAACTTGTTAGCGAAGCTCTGCCAATTTTTCTAGAGAGAGAAACAGCAGCCCCCGGTTGAATCCTCTGTTCTTAAGGTCAGTTCTCCGGTTACCCTTCACCTCTTAGCTATCTGTACTGCGCCCTTAGGCTAGGAGATAGAACATTTAGAAAACGCTAGTTGTACGAGCCCTCGAACTAGAGTCAGAATGTCGTCCCAGAGTGATTCTCAAGATATCTCGAGGACGCCCTCGATGGAGGACGAAGGCATCTCCGACGTGGAGTCAAGCAGTGGTCAACCCTCGGATGGTGGTGATGCAGCCCTGGCCCGGGAGGTTCAGAAGGAACTCATTGCGGAGGTTGAAGCCGAGGGCTTCGAGCAGGAGTGCGATGATGAAGACTTAGCCCTCGCATGGCAGACAGCGGAGGATGAGGCACAGAATGAGAGCTCGAAGGTCACGATTGCTGTTCTCCCCCCTCGGGGTTCCGGGGAGGCCAGTAGCTCGAGGCCGTTGGATCCGACACCTCTGAGGGCGGTTTCCGGTTTGAAGAAGAAGAAGGCCGCTACCAAGAAGAAGGAGAGGGCCGTCGATCAAGGAAAGCCCGTAGACATGCCCGAGGGGTACAGTTGGCTGAACACTGAGGCCCTCGAGATCAGGTCGAAGGCCGACAGGGCAGATCTGTACGTGACTCAGCTGCACGTGGGGCCCTCTGCCGAAGTGGTGGAGCCAGGTCCCGACGACGTGTTGTCCAGGGCGCCCGAGGGGTGTATTGCTATTCACGTCCTTTCGGTTTCCATGGGACTTAGGTTCCCTCTGCACCCATTCCTCCGGGAATATTTGCGGTTTGTTGGCTTGGTCCCCTGCCAACTCACGCCCAACAGCCACTCCTACATTGCGGGGTTCCTCCAGCTCTGCAAGTCCCGAGGGGTGAAACCCAGCCTGGATCTATTCTTCCAGAGCTTTAATCTGTGCCGGGGGGGGGGGGGCACGAAAACGGCGAGGGGTACGCCAACCTGCAGCAGATTGCCCGCTTCAAACTATTCTCCGATGCTCCTTCTTCCAACAAAGGATGGAGGGAACGTTGGTGCTACGTGAAGTTGGATGAGATCCCCTTCCCGAGGGAGCTACGTGACCGATTTCGAAGGCACGAAAAGATCAGGAGTGCCGCTCTCGAGAAAGACGGCCTAAAGCTGGCCAAGTTCCCGGAGGGGAAAAATAAGAACGTGGCGATCAAAGACTGCACCCTCGAGGAGGATTTATACACCCTCGGGTTCCGGAGGTACCGCTTCATAGGGGAGACCGATGAAAAGTACCCTCCCTTCAACAAGGCCTTCGGAGGGGCCGGAGGTAGGAGCCGAGGGCTTTAGAATTTTGTACTTAGTTTTTTTTTTTTTGCTTGGATGTTATCGTCCCTTCGCTTAGACCCGTCGGACTAACCCTTTGTCTCCTTTGTGCAGGTATCCCCGTCTCTATGGTGAACGTAAAGGGCCTTGCTCGTTTGAAGAAACAGGACCCGAAGGGGTCGGGACAGGGCATCCAGAAGCCCGCCACTGCCCTCTTTAAGAAAGCCGAGGGCGATGCCGCTGCCGGCAAGAGGAAGGCAGTGACCAAGGGGTCCCCCCCGGCTAACAAAAAGCCGAAAAAGGGGGATGTCGCCGAGAAGGAGCCCTCGGTCATTATCGCTGACGAGCACCCCGCCTCCGGGGTGCAGGTGGAGAAGCTACCGGGTGGAACGCCGGCGGGGGCAGAGGAGTCGCTGCCTGAGATCCTCACAGTCGTGTTCCCGAGGGGTACATCTTTGGCCAGTGGTGCTGTCGACCCGGGGGCCATCCTGAGGGGTATGACCCCTGAGACGGATAGGGCTGCCCTCGGGGCCTACAATGATGCGGCCCTCGAGGACCACATTCTCCGCTCCTCCCTCTCTGTAAGTGTTTACCTGGCTTTCTCCATCTTCTCCTTTGATTATTTTTGTGTGATTGCCTTTAACTGTTTTTGTTGTTGTTCTGCAGGCTTGCTTAGCCCTCGGCGAACAGGCTCGGAGGCTTCAAGAATGGCGCCTCCACAGAGCGGAGCAAGATGCCAGAATGAGGGAGTGCCTCCTCAAGAACCAAGAGGCGGTGAAGCTGGGGGCCCAGCTAGAAGAGGAGCTCCGGCAGATGAGCTTGAAATTGGAGGCTGCAGAGAAAGGCAAGGCTGATGCTGAGGCCGCTGCCAGGAGAGCTGCTAAAGAGGCCGAGGACTCCAAAGCGCTAGCTGTTGCCAAGGCTTAGGAGGAGGCCGTTGAGGCCTTTGTCGCCGAGGGTTGGAGAGCCGAGGGGCGCAAGATGTGGGTGTCCTCGGTCGTGGAGGCCTGCGTTGAAGAATGGGCCGAGGGCCCTGGGTGGGAATGGATGGCCCGGAAGGGCAGAGAGTACTATGAAGCCGGCGAATTCTTCACCCAGGCCCTCATCTACCGGAGGATGGCCCGGCATCTGGGCATTGAGCAAAAGGACTTCTCCCCCTCAGCGTATGGCCTTCCTCCCTTGCAGCCTGATGTCCGTGAGCCGCTCCCGGAAGGTGTTCAGAGGCCCGACCTTGAGGACACGGTGTTGAAGAATGAGGCCGAGGACGACGCTGTCGAGACCGGAGCGGAGGCATCATCGAGGCCGGCTGCAGAGGGCGCCCCAATGAACGATGCTGTTGTAGTTGTAGAATGACTTTGTACTTAGAGATCTTTGAACATGTTTTGTAATGAACAACATTGTTCCTTCGGCTTCGGCCCGTTTGTAAATCTCACACTTACTTTGTTTTTGATGAATGCATGATTGCCCTCGGGCTGTGTTTATATGACTTGTTCCCTTCAATTCCATTCCTCTTGAATGTATGCCTCCGTTTTCCTTGAGTGTATGCCTTCGGTATTTTTGAATGTATGTGTTTGTTTCTTTGAATGTATGTCTTAGGACTTAGAATACTACCTGATTGTAGCTAGCCCTTAGGAGCCTTCGGTAGTTGGGCACCCTCTGCTGGATATGCAATCGAGGGTCCAGCAGCAATTAGGACTTAGAAATTTTTTCTAAGTGTAGCACACATTAGGGCCTTCGGGTGTTTGCAGTAATCCAAGTCCTAGGACTTAGAAAATTTTCTAAATGTAGATTTCCCCTTGAGAGCCTTCGGGATATGGCCTCCCTTCCTGATGTGTGAATGTTGGGCCGAGGGCCCAATGCACAGGATTTAGAGATTTTTGCAAGTGAGTATGTCATGTAGCCTTCGGCTACTGTGGAGCCCCACCTGTAATATTGAATAGGCCGGGGGCTAAGTCTTTATGACTTAGAAGATTTTCTTGAGTGTTGATTCCTTGTGAACCGTAGCCCTCGATTGATAGGTAGCCTTCGGCAATTAGGTCCCTCGAGATGATGGCGAAATATGTAGGACTTAGAAAATCTTCTAAGTGTAAAGTTTCCCTTGGGAGCCTTCGGGAGTTGGCATCCCTTCATGATGTATGAGTAGCTGTCCGGGGGGGAAATATGTAGGACTTAGAGAATATTCTAAGTGTAAATCTCCCTTGGGAGCCTTCGGGAGTTGGCATCCCTTCATGATGTATGAGTAGCTGTCCGGGGGGGGGAAAATATGTAGGACTTAGAGAATATTCTAAGTGTAGATCTCCCTTGGGAGCCTTCGGGAGATGGCATCCCTCTTTGGTGTATGAGTAGTTGACCGGGGGGAAAACATGTAGGACTTAGAAAATCTTCTAAGTGTAAATTTCCCTTGGGTGCCTTCGGGTGATAGGTGCCCTCTGATTCCACATCACTTTGCGAGATGCCCGGGGGCTACTCATTCAGGACAGAATACCCTTTTTTTTTAAGTGTTGTTGTATTGCATGGCCTTCGGCCACCATATTCCCTTGGCTGTAATATTGATTGGGCCGGGGGCCCAATCTTTAGGACTTAGAATTTTTTCAAGTGCTGCTTCTCTGTGTAGCCTTCGGGTGCCCGGGGGCTGCTCCTTCAGGACTTAGAATTTTTCTAAGCATAAATTGATGTTGAATCCTGTTGTTGTGAAGAAAGCCAATGAAGAGTGTGTGCCCTCGGCATACACTTTAAAAGTTGTAGAATTTGACCCTTGTCATGGGGAAAGGGCCCTCGGTATTTGTGCATAACAGATGCCTTCGGTGTTTGTTTGAAGTACTGTTTAGTGGACCTTGGACAGTCCAGTCCCTTTGTATTGTTGAAGCCTTCGGTTTTTTTGTGACCGGAGGTGACCAGGTAGTGGACTTTAGCCGTTTCCTGATGATATTTCTTTGAGTAGTATCCTTCGGGAAATAGGAGTCTTCAATTACCGGAGGTGTTCCCGTGAGGAGCCCTCGGCATGTTGTGATTTTGTTGGAGTGTACTCTTTGATTTCTCGCTGAGTCTACTCCCCTTCACCCCTTTTTTTTTTTGGTGGTGGTGAAGGGAAGGCATCAAGAAACTTGGTTTCTTGGTAAGGCTGGGCCTATTAGGAGACCATCAGAATACACCAATGGCCCTCCTCCCTCGGGTTAACCTTCCGAGTGCCGAGGGGATCGAGGGACGTTTCCTGGGCACAAGATATGGTGGTCCGTAACCTGCCTCCCCTTGGGGGATGGCGCGGAAAGCGCCTCATTTTTGAAAGTCGTCCCCTCGGCGCTAGACATAGTCTGTGGCCTGCCACACCCTTGGGGTGGTGGCGCGGGGAGCGTTTCGGTTTGGAAGTCGAATCCTGGGCAGTTCTCATGCCTGTCATACCCTGGGGGTAATGACGCGGATAGCGTTCCGTTTTTGAAAGTCGAATCCTGGGCATTTCTCATGCCTGTCATACCCTGGGGGTAGTGACGCGGAAAGCGTTTCAAGGAAGGGTTTTCATTTGCACACTAGTTGCAAATGGCCGGGGGCACTACGTGCCGCCGGCACCGATGGTGGCGCCTTCGGTATATGCGTCCTCGTGGGGTACGGCTTTTAGAAACAACACTTGGTGTTAGTTTCGATGTGTAGCCCCCGGTACTTGGTACCGAGGGGTCTTCTGTGGGAACACTTGGTGTTCTCTTTGTTGTAGTTGATGTAGGCGTCCACCCTCGGTACTTGGTACCGAAGGGTCTTCAATTGAAACACTTGGTGTTTCCCAACAGATGTTTGGAAGTTGATAGGAGAGTATATCCCTGGCACTTGGTACCGAGGTGTACTGGGTGCCGAAGGGTCTTCTGTAGGAACACTTGGTGTTCTCATCTTTTCTTTTTTGGTGTTGAAGGGGGGGATGTACCCTCGGCACTTGGTGCCGAAGGGAGATTATATGGCGTTCTTTGTTGTTGGTGATAGGAGTTCCCTCCCTCGGCACTGGGTGCCGAGGGGTCTTGACTGAAAACACGTGGTGTTTTCACTGCTTGTTGTAGGTGTTGATGGTGTCCGCCCTCGGCACTTGGTGCCGGAGGGGGGTCTTCTCGTGGTGAGGTCGGGGGCCTGTAGTCAGTATGAGGGCTTGATGTCTTGAATGTATCTTCATTCTTCGAAATTGGAGGCCTTGGGCCATAGGATAGTACATTCACTAGTTATGAGGGCTTGGCCGCTCTTACATTATTGATAAAATTTAACTAAATGGTGTACATTCCAGTGCCTAGGGACTTCTTTCCCATTGGGGCGTTTGAGCTTGTAGGTCCCGGGTTTGATGATGGCTGCTATGATGTAGGGGCCTTCGAATTTTGGTGCCATTTTTCCTCCCTCGGTTGATTGGCTGGCTTCCCTCCTCCGGAGGACATAGTCCCCCACTTGAAATTCTCAGGTTCGAACTTTGGCGTCGATGTAGCTTTTAACTTGCCTTCGGTAGTTTTCTTCCCGGATGAAGGCCTGCTCCCGGCGTTCTGAAATGAGGTGGAGGTCGAGGGCCATGTTGCTGTCGTTGACCTCGGGGTCATACTGGATCACCCTTCGGGTAGGAAGGGTGACTTCCGTAGGAGCTTTGGCTTCAAAACCGTAGTAGAGGGAGAAGGGTGTTTCACCTGTAGCTCGCCGAGGGGTGGTGCGGTAGGCCCAAAGCATGTTGTGAAGTTCTTCTACCCAGCCACCGCCCTCGGCCTCCAGCTTCTTTTTGAGGCCCTCGAGCAAGGTCCGGTTGGCATTCTCTACTTGCCCGTTGCCTTGAGGGTAGGCAACGGAGGAGAAGGTGTGTTTGATGCCCCATGCCTCCAGAAGGGCACAGAAGGGGGCTGCCTCGAATTGTGTCCCATTGTCGGAGATGATCTGCTGGGGGACGCCAAACCTTGTGAGGATGTTCTTGAGGATGAAGTGACGGCACCTTGCCTCGGTGATGCTGGCGAGGGGTTCAGCCTCCACCCATTTGGTGAAGTAGTCGACAGCCACAATGATGTACCTGTTGTTGGAGGTACCCCTCGGCAGAGGGCCCACAAGGTCTATCCCCCATCGAGAAAAAGGGACAGACGTGCTGATGGGGGCATAGTTGACCGCTGGCCTGCCGGGGGCTTTCTGGAAATGTTGACACGCGGTGCACCTCCGGGCAAGGTCAGCACAATCCCTGGCCATGGTTGGCCAGAAGTAACCCTGGAGGATGAGCCTTCAGGACATGGAGAAGGGTCCCTGGTGAGCTGAGCAAGTGCCACTGTGCACTTCTTCCATTGCGACCTCGGCTTCATCTGGATGAAGGCACCGAAGTAGCGTGCCATTGTAGGATCGTTTGTAGAGCCTCCCATCTTCAATGGTGTAGCTGGGAGCCCTCAGCTTTGCCAGTTTAGCGCGGGCCTCATTCTCGGGTAGTTGCCCTGTGGAGATGAAGGCGGTGATATCTGAGATCCAATCCTCTTGGCGTTGTTGTATGTTCATCACGGGGCTTGCATGGATGCTTGAGAGGCTGAGTTCCTCGATTTTGGCAATTTTGGAGATGTGCTCGGGGGAGTCGTCCGAGAGCTTAGATAATATGTCGGCCTCGGAGTTCTGAGCCCTCGGTATTTGAGTGAGAGAGTGTGCCTCAAATACCTTAAGCAACTCCTTGGCCGCTTCCTTGTACTGTTTCATTCTTCCCTCCTTGGCCTCATATTCTTCGGAGATTTGGCCAACGACCAACTTGGAGTCGCATTTGATGTGGATCTGCCGAGCCCTCATGTTGGCAGCCAGCCGAAGGCCACATAGGAGGGCCTCATATTCGGCCTCATTGTTGGAGACTTTGAAGGAGAAGCGGATTGCATAGTAGGCCCTGAAGCCCTCGGGAGTAATGAGGACTACCCCTCCCCCGCA